AACATGACGAACGACGAATATGGTGTGTAACTTCAGTTCCTAAGCGCACCGCGATACTTATCGCTTTCCAGTCACACATTTTTCAATGTGGGCGCTCCTTAAGAGCCCTCTGATCCTGGGCAACTACCTGACCAAGATGGTGCGCCCTTTCTATGATCGCCATCTTGGATCTGCCTCGTGACCTCTTCTACAACAGACCCCTGATATTCTGGATATCATCACTAACGATGCCATCATCGCGGTGAACCAGGATCCTCTTGGTGCTTCTATCAAGCGTTCGTGGAAACGGTTGCTAGAGGAGGGAGACGTGCAAATGTGGACGGGGCCTCTTGCTGACGGGTTCGTTTTCTCTTACTAACCCCTTCATCCCGACTTAAAACGATGGTTCTCAGATCGACAGTTGTCGCCTTGATGAACACGTCCCCAGACCCCCAGACAGCAACAATTTCATTTAAAGACATCCCCTCGAAGTCGCCCAACCCCGAGGTCAGTCCACCCTTTCCAATGCTGTTGGTTCATACTGAACGGCTCTTATCAGACGACAACTTTCCGAGCGTTCGATCTTTGGCAAAGGAGCTCGGAGTTGACCCGATCCGGAACTCGATGGGGGCTCGACATCGGATTGTTTCAAGGTCAAATCTCAGACATAACCCTCAAACGACACCAAACCAAAGTCTTCATGCTCGTCCCCCAAGTTCGGACGACCCTCAGAATCCAGGAGGACGCCGAATAAGAGGAAACTGTTCGTACAAGTACTCGAAATGTATTAAAGCCAGTGTACTTTCTACAGCTACATGCAAACCCCTTCAGGGTATCGGCTCTTCCTACAAAATTGATGGCACATACTAAGTAAAAGAGGCAAGAAACGTATCGATAATCCGTATCATAAATATATATGGTAAGAGTCGGCCTGTAGAGAATCGAAAACAACGAGAGCAACGGAGTCATGCAAGACCAGATTGTCGCATGTAAGATTGAATGATGGCCTCTCCCGCTGGCGATTGTCACGGAGACGTCAAGTTTGGCTTGCGAAAAGGTGATGAGTTGACATACCGTGGCATATAATCTGCTGAGTTGCCTTGACATCCTGTCAAATTAGTGGAGCTACATGAGTTACTGTTCGGGTTGAATTCGGGTGGGGGGACCAACCAGCAATTTCGTGAAGTGCTGCAAGTGGGCAGTGTTCAGACGATGCAAGGGTCGAGAACTAGGGAAGAGACACTCACAACGTATAGCGACCGACGAGGTTGCGAAATGTCCTTCTTTTTGTGTATTTGAATGAAATGGGCGCGGAAGTATTCAGATACCTCTTCGTATGTGTTCGGCCTATCACCGTACGAGGTGATGCTGCAACTCCGGTTAACAAGCCGTATCACCTCATGACAAGCGCAAGGCAGCCTCACTATTTCTTGACCGGAATCCCTGCTTCTAGTTTCTGCCTCAGTAGGTCCGCCTGGCCTAGAGTGAGTACATCAATCAAACACAAACGACAAGTCAAAACGGACCTTGTTCAACATAAGCACAAGCGCAGCCTTTTGTAGAAGCTTGTTCTGTACAATAGCGGTGAACAACTGCAATGAGTCGTCGATCCTATTCGTCCGCGGATCTTCTTCCAAGTACTGAGAAAAAAGAGGGAGGCATTTCATAATTGAGCCTAAAAGTCCGAGAAGGACGCAGCGGAGGAAGTACGTACCTGGTCGTAAGCGCTCATCGGCGCGAGAAATATGATGGCTGTAGCTGGAGGCCATAATCACAAGTCAGTGACATTCCTTGGAGCACCCGATATCAGAACAAGGAGGAGGAACGCTGAGGATCAAAGCGATAACCCAAGTTTGTCCCACCTGGGAATAAGAACCGAACAAGGACAAGTTTGTCCCAGGGAAGAAAGAAGTAGAAGCAATCGGTGGCAATCGATGGGAAGGAAGGGTTGATCGAATTTGATCACACTCACCATCATCAAAGTACGGAACCCAAGCATGTCTCTGTGAGATAAAACACAAAAAAAATCGTGGCGTTAATTCAACCAGCCTTGGAACTAGATCCGCGTGGGGACGCTGAAAATGGACGTACTTGGCCTCGCTATGGGGTGGTGCAAGACAAAGCGAAGAAGGGCTGAGTGAGTGGAAAGACAGAATGGGCGGACAGGAGGAGAACACGTACAGCGCCGCCAACGTCGTACATCAACCAGTTAAAGGACAGCCCAGCTAAGGAGATATCGAATGAGTGTTCGATGACACCAAGAGTTTGTAACCGGACGTTGAGAATGTCCTCTGGAACAGAGATGAGCTTTTCCTTGGGGATGGTGAGGGCGACGGGGTAATGATACCTGTCGACGGTAGGTACTCAGATTCCGCTATCCGATAAATGCTATCCAAGAAACTGTTCACACAAGACACGATATTAGCACCAACCCCATAACAGAGCACGAAAAATTGGGTGCTCACAAGGCGGCAGATTCTTCGAGTCTTAGTTTTCTCCGAGCCAACAACTGTCGAACCGCAGGATGCTTCCATAGTTCCTCGATAGCATCGACTGTTTCGGCCAGTCCTTTAGCAGCCATACTTGTGATTGCTGGGACTTTGGCATTGTTAGCGATCGACCGATTTCGATTGGGTGAGACGAGCGTTTGCCAGCCTGCTCGGACGAAGACACCTGACCGCCCGCCAGAAACCGTCACACCGCCGTTCAGTTCTGAGGCAAGAGTGTCTTCGAGGGCGACGAGTGGGAGTAGTTTGGCTCGGAGCTCCGAGATGCCAGCACTCAGGTCACTGTGAGTGGCGGGTGGTGACGAGGGCGGCGAGGCGGGTCGGGCGGGCGGAGTTTGTGATGTAGATGCCACTGGTTGGGACTGAGAAGATGATGGGTCCGAAGTGGCGGCGGAGGTGGTGGTGGAGGTGGCGGAGGTAGCACTTTCATTCCAATCGATTTCATCGAGGATCATGCGTACAGCTTTGATCACGTTGAAGTAGACAACTGGCCGCCATGAAGGACGTTCGCCGTCCAATGACTTGGAAGCATAATAGAGCTGGAATTGTTTTTGCAAGGTGGATTTCCCTGACTCTGCTTGTCCGAGGAGGATGACTGGGTATATGCGTGATCAACGAGGCGACTCCGAAGCGCATACATCCTGCTTACCCTTGACCTCAGTCTTCTGAGCTCTCCGCCTCCTTATCGCTTCGCGTTCTCTCTGTGAATGAACATTGGATAGCTAGCGGAGTGTGATGTCAAAAGCACATACCTTGAGCTCCTCATCAATTCTATTACTTATCCTCAGCGCTTCGGCATCATCAATCGGCCTAGCAGCAGAACGAAATGTGTTTACAGAGCGGACAGACGTGGCAGGGTCGGACTGCGAATATGGATGTCTTGCCATACTCGAATTGCAGCCAAATCAGAGCAGGAGGGAGGTGGATGGTGATGGTGATGGTTTGACGACACGGCGAAACAATGCATGCGCACAACGATCCCCACCAAACAGAGTGAAATACATAAGCAAGGCAATACCGAGTCCGACATCAATCAGCATCATGCAGCATCATCCCACGCAGATGACTAGACGCCCTAACACCAGATCCCATAGTCTCAATCTCCCTTGCCCTGAGAGTGAAACAAAAAGAGACCAAGAAGCCCGGCGTTTTCCCAAAGCCTATCACCCGAGTCCGCGTGGATCATACATGCCCCCCTCATTCTCTCTCCCATACCATCAACATCGTGACCTTGGCCCTTGTCTTTTCGTGACTCATTTCCTCGGGTTCCAGTCTTCGAGCCCGCTCATCGTTGCTCGGCGTGCACTGAAATGGAATCTTACCCATGTACGGAAGAAGGACCGGCATTCAGAAGGACCGATCGCAAGATTGACTCTGGTTGCGGCATTGGCTCGATTGGCTCACAGCTACCCCCCGAAGAGCATCCTCACTGCCTGGTACCGCCTTTCTCTGTCTTGCATTCCCCTATCTATCTGGAGAATTGATTCCGGACCTCTTGGCGTGGGCAACATCGTATATTTCCGTCTGCATCGAGAAGAGTCGGTGTTTGCATACCATCGACGCGCCAAAATAAGATGTATAAACCATCTTTTACACCTCGTTGACAAACTCTGTCCAGATTTCGTTACTTCGGCGACCATTCAACCCGCCCTCTGACGCCCACCGAGGAGCCCGCTAATTGCCCCTCGGTGATCCTTGTCGTGATCTCCCTTATGCCCACCCCTCGGCCACGAGTCAAGATGTCAAAGGATCCTCAAACGACACCGATCACCAAATTATCCAAACCTCAAGAATTCTTGGGTAATTCGAAACCTATTTTCCCTCCCGCACGACTCTCGATCATCTGAGCTCGGAGCGCAGTCCGTTTGATCAAGGCACACGCTAACGAGATTCGCAGTCAGGGCCGGTGGTGTAGTTGGTTATCACGTCTGTCTAACAAATTATGGGACACAGACGGTCCTCAGTTCAAGTCTGGGCCGGCTCATATTTTTCTTTTTGGCTTTTGCTTTTCTCCTGTCTCGAACCCCCTCGAGCCTTGATTTCTCGGTGAGTCTACCGACACAAGGGCCGGTGGTGTAGTTGGTTATCACGTCTGTCTAACATTTCTCATGGCACACAGACGGTCCTCAGTTCAAGTCTGGGCCGGCTCATGTTTTCCTTCCCGTACTTTTGCTTGAGGGCATCTCTCCTTACATCTCTCTTTCCTTTCTGCCTCGATTAAGTGCTCCCCTCATTCGTCTTCGGGACGGCTCATCTTCTTCCGTCTTGCTTGCTTTCTCCTGCCTCGACTCCCCTGGAGCCTTGGTTTCTACGAGAGACCCCCGTACTCAAGGGCCGGTGGTGTAGTTGGTTATCACGTCTGTCTAACACATCTCATGGGCACACAGACGGTCCTCAGTTCAAGTCTGGGCCGGCTCAACTTTTTCCCCCTTTCTCGAGGCTACTGTACATCTCTTTTCGTTGATCCTCCCTCGCTTACTGCTTATGATTCCTCGGTGAAGCTGCGGTATACCAGGGCCGGTGGTGTAGTTGGTTATCACGTCTGTCTAACATGTCTTCTCATGGCGCACAGACGGTCCTCAGTTCAAGTCTGGGCCGGCTCATGTTTTTCTTCATTCTCAGAGCATATCTTTGCTTTGTTCTTCAAGTTGGGGATGTCCACCCGGTTCATTTCCCCTGCCTCGGTTACCGAATCCAACCCCCCTTCTTCCCTGGGTGAGATCTTCCCTACCTGTACAAGTTTGTAACAACATGCCTGGGCAAGATACATTTTGCTCCATGTCGTACTACTAGACTACTTGAAGCCGTTCGCAAGTCAAGCTAAAAGCCAGCTCTTTAAGGAGGTAGCATTGCCCTCCGGAGGGACGGCACAATAACTGCATCTGACAACCTAATACAAAACTACAGAAAGCAAAATCTGAGAAGCGTGCATAACACAGCGGAATGACCAGACATCCCAACAACAAATCATCTACAGCGACCAAAACGTCAAGATGTCCATTCTCAAACTTCAAACCGGAAATCATCCTCCAAACCATCCAGTCCAACAACAGGCATCAACACAATGTCGCCGTCATCCTCCCCACCATCCTTCACATCCTTCCCGCTTCCCTTTTTCTGCAGGGCAGAAGCAACGGGTACAGGCCTTCGTCCTGCAGCAACAGGCCGCGTGGATGTCAACGCTGGCCTACGTGTTGTGGTAGCCACAGTTGGGGGAGTGGTCTTGGAAGCAGAGACTACCGGACAGCTCAGTTTAGTTGTGGGAGCTGTAGCTCCGCTGCCATTCGCTGTTTTCAGTGGAACTGTACTTGGTCTCGCCGCCACTTTTGAACCAATTGTAGCTTTGGAGGGTCCAGCTGTGGCCTTTTCATTATCCATACGAGGAACGGCGTTGGATAGTTTTGAAGTAGCGCCAACTGTGGCCCTCGAATTCGCAACGGCACTGCGAGAAGCAGGAGTGGTTGTATTTAATCGTATAGTTGCGTTCTTCTGCACAGCGGTTGTCACGGTTGACGGTCGAGCGTTGGCTGTTCTGCCGGTCATTCCAATGGAATTCGCTGGCCGGGCTCCTGTCCGCGCTGCAGGCAGCTTGCCGTTCGGGACGGTGCGCGTTGTTGGCTTGGGTAGTGCGAACGGGTTATCGTCGACTGAGGCATGTATTATGTCAGATAAATGCTACGCGGATACAGGAGATATTGGTTTGGCTCACCGAGTTCGGGCAAGTCAAAGGATTCCCATTTTCCCCCGCCGTATCGCTCCACGAACTCGTCGTTGGTGCTGGGAACTTCGATTTCTGGAGGCGTATAATCGTCTACTGGATAGGAATGTGTCAAGGCGAGGATAGATCGCCCGAGGACTTTGTAATCCGGCAGTTCAAACGGTGGTTGGTATGCGGGGACTAGATACATCAAGAGATGGTACGTGAGTTCGGATCGACGAGTAGACAGTGAACGTACTGATAGCGGTCGGAGGCATGTATTCAACCTCGTCATAATCTTCCTTCTCCTCTTCCGCTACTTCCTGTAATTGCAACTGCGCCTCCGACTCGCCAACGTCGATGTCTCCATCACTCACGTCCCAATGGTTCCCGTTTGTCTGAGGAGTTTGGAATCTCACTATTCCAATCCCACCGTCTCGTAACTTTCCTCCACTGCCGCTGAGACGAGGGACTCGAATAGACTTTCGTGTGGAACTGGGGAGAAGGTTGGGAGTTTGGGCCGTTGGTGCCTCTAGGAGAGATAGTTTGGATATTTTCTGTGTACCGTTAGGATGAGGTGTGTTTTGGGTTGGGGCGACTCGGTTCGGGAAGGGTGTTTTGTCTAGTAGTGGTCGAGAAACCGTGGAAGAGGGTTTGGAGGTGGTTGCAGGACCATCTTTGAGTGTGAATAGTTTCTGTGGTTCTACGATGCACCGTTAGTGGCTATATACGCATTAAAAAGCGAGTATACACACTGAGAGAGTCTGGATGAAATGGAGTTTGCTGCAGAGCAACCTTTTTGCCTTTCGTGGTGGCGGTCAAGGCTCCTCGATGGCCGGCATTCTCTTGGAGGGCACTCCGACTCTTGTTAAGAGCTCTTCCGGGTGTTTTAATGGCACCATACGCTGGTCCATCAGCGTTCAGTGAGATAGGCCGTGCACTAAGCATGGCTAGGTATCGCAACGGTCGAGGATGGTGGTTAAGTCAGAACACAGTGAGAATGGACGCGACTTCAACACGATCATGTGCTGGTAATGCCACAGGCACGCAGTGACAGTCACGCTTGTCCTCACCACTTGCGGGTCACAAGGCATTCCAAGTCTTGCCGTAAACTAAGTTCGCTGGCTGGCGACACCCACCATGGCATACGATTCACCCCTATTTCCGACCGAAATCCTCGCCCACATCACACACTATATCCGAGATATAGATGATTTGGCTAGGGTCTGCCTCACAAGCCAAAGGTTTCGACAGGAAGGGACCCGGATTCTCTATCGTTCGGTCGAATTAGCCAGTCCTCCAATGGTTGGTTTGTTCTGCAGGACCCTTCAGACGTGTCCTTCCTCCGGCCTCCCCGTGTTCGCTTTATCACTGTTTATCCACAGACCCCCCAGCCTAGTAGCCCCTTCCCGCACGGATCTAGCTCCCTTTGAGCTCATACTGGCCGCTGTTCCTAATCTCCGATACCTCACGATAACTTGTAATCGTCACTCCCTTCCCAGTGGTTATGGTCCAATTTTCCGAAACTGTGCTTTCCACCTTGAAACCTTCCACAACTACCCCCTTGCCTTTGAAGACACGTACGAATTCCTCTCCAGCCAACCGAATATTCGAGAGTGGACCCACTTGGATATGCTATCGTATCCAACTATTCCCTCTCAGCAGGGACGTTTGCATAATGACTTTCTCCCCAACCTCGTCAAGGTCAATATTGACGCCGAACTCCTCACTTACTTCTCTACCCCCCGACCTATCACGCATGCTCGGTTGCGATTCGGTCCAGCAGAGAAATGGGTCGATAATTCCGTTTTCCGGGACTTTCGCTACATACGCGATACCCTCATTAGCTTCGCAGTGGATTCAAGCGAGTCCTTCTCTAATGGAGGCCGTGGTTCCATGGGAGATCTCGTTGCACGAGAGTTTCCGTCCATCAAGCACTTTACTTTCCTTGATCGATATCTGGGGGAGGATACAGTGAGCCAACGCAATTTCCCTTTCCCTTTGTACTTACTCGAGCTTATGTCCGCCACCACTGTAGCCATTATCGATCCAACCTGACGGTGTTCTGGTGGATGCTGTTGGGCGTTTCACCCACCTAGAGACATTCATCTACGCTTTTCCGACCAATCAAATACAGTCCTCCTTTTCGAGCCCACCCCTGATTGGCTTAGTCCATCAGGTTGTACGTGCGCTGATGGACGCATCTCCTCACCTTCATCAGGTTGCCTTCATGTCGGAGCGGGCAAATACGAAGGTAGACCTCGGAAGAGACACAGAGCTCGTGACATACACGAGACACGCAGATGGTGATGTGAGAGAGAAAGATGACCTTTTGAGCCTCGAATCGTGGAAATACTTGTCTTGATAGTTTTCTGCCTCAGCAGTGCGGAAATTTTGTCTTTTTCATACCTTGCAATATTAATCATCGATATGTAGGCACATTCCCAGGGCCAAGGTGCCGTTGGAGCCACTTGGATATCTGTACACAGAAAGGAGGAGCTTGGTGTTGGTCTCCCCGTCAGATACGAACATACCTGAGCGTAGCACTTGAGCTTAGTGTGCCGACGGAGTATCCATTGTTGGTAGATCCCTCATTCATGCCACTGTTCTCATTTTCGACCCCTAGCCGAATTTTGCGCAGATCTTTCCCTCTGAACTCATTGGATGCCGGGTCTCGCGTGATTTAACGCCGCCAGCGAACTTGTCGCCAATTGTCACGTTCGCTGGCAGGATGTGATGACGAGATATGAAGCAGTCCTCGCGGTTGATACCACCGTACGGATGTCCTTTCAATCATACGGAATGTCTATCTATTCAAAATGGTCGCAATATATTGTGTACGGAGAATCTCGACTCTAGTTATGCGGAGCGCCCCATCGCTTAGAGGCTAACGGGGACACAACCGATGGAGATGAGCCCGCCTAGGAGGATGATCGTCAGCACATAGGCATCTAAAAAAACGAGGAAGGATCCATGGGCCTACCGTAGGAGTTGTCGGTGCAGCAAACAGGGTTGGCGGAGCTGTTGAACAATCAGCACAGAGCAAACTAAAGGCGACGAGAAAACTAACCAAGAGCTGCCGCTACCAACACCAATGATGGTGATGGGGCTGCAGGTAAGCCCGACGAGGACATCCAAGTCCTGGAGGACGATGCCCAAAAGGCCGAGAATGGCAGCAGCTCCGCTGGAAGAAGCGCTCTCGACGGTGTCGCAGCACTGGATGGGGCCAGTATTACATGATCCAGCGGTTGTGGTGGGTGCGGTGCTGGTGGTGGTGGGAGTCCCGTTGGGAACGGGGTTGGCGGCAGCAAGGATAGAGACGACGGTGGTA